CTCTTGTGTGCTTCTTAAATCAGTTCTATAGCTTTTACGCCCAGCACCCTCTTTTTAAAATGCTCTGCTTGGATATTGCGTCTGGGAGTTCCCTCCCCCGCTCGCTTAAATCAGAAGGGCTTTCTAGCCGAAGCTCGGTGTTTTGCTTCACTACGACTCACAGTTCATCGTTGGTCCTAAGACCCACCTCAGGTACTTGTAAAATGCCCAATCTTCACGCGCTTGTCCTGGTCAGCAACTCTAGAGCCATGCGGTCACACAGCGGCAGGACCTTCGGGGCGGAGGGAAGCCTCAATTTTCCGGCATCGAGCCGGAAAAGAGGCAATTCCTCAAAAGCCCCCTGGCTAGAAGCCCAAACCCAAGGGCTCCGGGGGGGGGGGTAGCGGACAATCGTGCCCCCTCCTATCCGCTGGCATTCAGATCGCGACCAGGGTCGCATCCGCCATCATGCCGCCAAAAACCGGAAGTCGGGATGAGCTTTCCTGAGTCACCGCTCACTTCTTCAGTTGGAAAATGGCTGTTTTAGATGGTGGACTCTGTGACATTATACCCCACTGAGGTTCCTCCCTTCCCCTAACCCCGGCCTCCCCAGGTTCCACCTGCAAAATCTCCATGAATCTGGCACCCCTAACCTGCATTCAGATGTCATCACAAATTGGAGTTTGATCAAAGACTTCTACAACTAGGAAGTTTCAATTGTATTCTGAATGTTGAAGGGGAGTACATACAAGAAGAAGACAGATTTGTGGCGGTCATAAACAAATCTGTTTGTTTGTGATGCCTGAATATAGCCTGTGTCTCTACACTACCATCTCTTTTACCAGTGATATTCTGTTTCCCTGCTCACAGGAAACTCTTCAGATCTGGTTCTCTTTTCTCTTTGTACCCCAAACCAGTCTGTTTTCAGCTCCATTTCTCAACTACACCTTCTCTTTAAAAAAAAATGCTGTCTTTAGCACTCTCCTCTTTCCACACAAACTCTGCCCATTTCTTTCCCAGCCCCATACATCTTTTCACACCTATGTATTCCAGCTATCCACTTGTAACTTGTGGATCAAAAACTGGCTAATTAATAGGAAACAGAGAGTGAGTATAATTGGGCAAGTTTCACAGTGGAGGGAGGTAAGCAGTGGTACTGTAGTGTAGGGCTCAGTACTTGGTCCGATGCTCTTTAACTTGTTTATTAATGATTTGGAGTTGGGATTAAGCAGTGAAGTGGCTAAATTTGCAGATTACACAAAATTGTTCAGGGTGGTGAAAAGCAGGGAGGCACTCCAAAGGAATTTGTTGAGGATGGGCGAGTGGGTGTCAGCATGGCAAATGGGGTTCAATGTGGCCAAGTGCAAAGTGATGCACATTGGGCCCAAAATTTCTAACTATAAATACACGTTGATGGGGTCCGAACTGGCAGTGACTGACCAAGAGAGAGATCTTGGAGTCGTAGTAGATAACTCATTGAAAATATCGGAACAGTGTGCAACTGCAATAAAAAAGGCCAACGCTATGCTCGGGATTATTAGGAAGGGAATTGAAAACAAATCAGCCAGTATCATAATGTCTCTGTATAAATCGATGGTGTGACCTCATTTGGAGTACTGTGTACAATTCTGGTCACCACTCCTCAAAAAGGATATTATAGCTTTGGAAAAAGTGCAGAAAAGTTCAACTAGAATGATAAAAGGGTTGGAACACTTTCCGTATTAAGAAAGGTTAAAGCACTTGGGGCTCTTTAGTCTGGTGAAATGACAACTGAGGGGTGACATGATTGAGGTTTACAAGAATATGCATGAGATAGAGCAGGTTGAGAAAGAAGTACTTTTCTCCCTTTCTCACAATACAAGAACTCATGGGCACAATGAAATTGCTGAACAGTCAGGTTAGAACAGATAAAAGGAAGTACTTCTTCACCCAAAGAGTGATTAACACATGGAATTCACTGCCACAGGAGGTGGTGGCGGCTACAAGCATGGATGGCTTCAGGAGGGAATTAGATAAACATATGGAGCAGAAGTCCATCAGTGGCTATTAGCCACAAGGTATAGATAGGAACTCTAGGTCTGGGGCAAATGATGCACTGTATTCTTGGTGCTGGGGGGGGGGCAACAGTGGGAGGGCTTCTAGTTTCCTGGCCCCACTGGTGGTCTTCCTAATGGCACCAGGTATTTTTGGCCACTGTGTGACAGAGTGTTGGACTGGATGGGCCACTGGCCTGATCCAACATTGGCTTCTCTTTTGTTCTTATGTAACTCATAGCTCTCTGTATCCAGTGTTATCACTTTTCATTTCTATACCTCGTAATAATCTCTTCTGTCTTTACTCTCCTCTCCTGTGGTATCCCCCTCTTTTTCTCTGTACCTCTACACAGGTCTCTCTCCATCCTCCATTCTCAGGTCATACTTCATCTTTCTTTCTCCCACTCAGTGGACAATAATTGCTACAGAACATGATACATTTGTATGGCAGCACCTGTACCTGAAGAAATTAGACTGCTAACTAGGGTTTTTTTTTAATGGGGAGGGCCTTTTCATACCTAGTTCAAGCAACAAATAGTATGAAGTTGTTTCTCAACCACTGCCAACTGATTTTTTGTTTACTGCAGATCAGTGGTATGTGTTCAGAATATATTGGATAGCTTTGATACCCTGTATGAGATATGGTCTGCTCTTTCTGAATTTTAAATTCCCCTAGAGGTTTTCTCATAAAGCAGCTCCCCCTCCCTTGGAACTGAGGATTTAAATGTCATATCAGATTTTGATGTACAGTTTGTATATTAGCTAACAGACAATTCTTTCTTTTATTGCAGCATTGAAGTTTCCCCATGTTTGGAACCTAGCTATTGCTTGCAAAAGACAAGAGCCAGGCGGACTAGTTTGTCAGGAGATGAAGATGTAGGACTGGCCAAATACTTACCCAAGTCTTTGTTACTACCCATTAATACTTTTGCAGGCATAATTCAATGAAGAAGGTAAAGTTCAGTTATTCAGATCCTTTGCTGGGGTGCCACTGAATACCCCAAAGCTTGAGGACTAAATAGAAAGGGCTCCATGGGAAAGGCAAATGAGTCTGCTGTAGGAAACAGCCTGGCCCAATTTGGAGAAGGTGAGAGATTTTGTAACAGGGCAGATAATAAACTGGGGAACAGATGGAAGAAGAAACAATAAGGCATTCAACCTTCTTTCAGTGTGCCCTGCATATTAAGCCCAGGAAAAAGTGTTGCAAGGATAATTTACTTGAGTATTTTCTTACACCATGAAAGGAGAGGACAATAGTTGTTTTTTTGTTTCACCTTTCACAGATCAAATTGAAATTATGGTAAATAAATGTTACAGTAAATAAATTTTCCTTCAAATACTTCCTCAGACTCAACTCAAGATCATAGCTCTGTAGAATTAGGCCCTGTTCAAACATGTCAGAGATATGAACGCTATTCTGTAGAATTGCCACAGGTTGATGGTGGTCACCAAATTAAAGATTTATAATTCACACCACAGATTCAAATATTTAGTAAGAAAGTTATTGAGATGGGGTTGTATATGCATGTCCATGAATTCCCATCAGATTTTACCAGTCAAGGAAATACAAAATATAATTGGAAACTGGAGTACCTGGAAACTTGGAATACTTGGAAACTGTCCTATATATAGTAGCTGTGGGAAACTGCACAAAATGAAAAGTACCACAGACAGGACAAAAATCTCGGTGACAGAACTAAAGCATTTTGCCATGAGAACTAGACTATGTGTGTTTTATAGGGTGTTTTGACTATGAAGTCAATCAGACATGGATGAGCAGCCTCCAGCACAGGTGGCATAGACAGAATGAGCTTGTGGCTCTTTGATTCAAGAACAGGAAGGTGATGTGGCTGATTGTGCCATGATGTGCCAGGTCTAGCTTCCTGCTTTCTCTCTATAAGTGCACTGCTGCTTTTCCTGTAGCTCAGTAGACTAGAGGAAAAAGCCACTGCAAGGCTCAGGAGGCTGTGTATGTATTGCAGTGTGCATTAGAGTAGGGATTAAGTTTGACCTTTATTTGTGGCACACTTGGACACCACAAATTAGAGCAGAGATTGCATACAGCTCACCAGCTCTCCGACTTCTCATCTGCAGCTGTTTTTCTGAACTGGAATCCTGCTAAACAACACACCAACCAGGATGTGGAGCCTAGCCTGTGTGCTTTCAAACTGTTGTCTTCTAATTCACATAAACTCTGTGGCTTCAGCTTCAGTCTGGCATTCTGTGACTGGGTTTATGAGTCTTTTGTTTTGTTTCATGCTTCCTTTATTGGCCACTTGGCTGTATTATCTCATATTTAAGGTCTTGCAGAATCAAGGTATGGACTCTCTATTATATGGTAGACACTAACATAAAGTGCCAGTGGTTCCAAGATTTATTTATTTATTTATTTTTGAGATTTCTATGCCGCCCTACCCAATGGCTCAGGGCGGCTAACAACAAGTTTAAAAATTGAGTACAATAAAACACTGTTACACATATAGTAAATTCTGGTGCTACAAAAGCCTACATAGAAATACATAGAAAAAAAGATGAATAGGATGGTATCCAGAATAATTATTATTAATTAAACCTGTAGCTCTTTCTGGACGAGATTCTCAATCTTGCATATCAAGCAGGTTCACAGAACAGTAAAGGGTTTGTTTTGTTTTGTTTTAACAAAAGTCAAGCTATAGCTTAGGCTTCATCTTTCATAAAAGAATTCACTGAGCACTTAAACTACAAAGTACTTTCTTCCACTTTGGTGCATTCTGAAGATACTGAAAAATGTGCAGATGTTATGTGTCTCAAAGACACATAGTAGGGCTATTCGTGCTTACTAAAACTTCTTACATATGCTTAAAAGCTTTTTTTTGCACAGCACTTTGATCCCTTGTGAACATTGCTAGGAGCCAGTCTTCCTGGTGTCCATACTGTCCTGTTTCAAAAATATGAGGTGGTCATTTTGTCTTTACGAAAAGATGTCAGTTCTCTTGTGCTGTAAAACCATCATCAGAAGAAGTTTGGAGATTTCCATTTGTTATTCTGATGATTTTCCTAGAGTTTTATAAACTGTGCCTCCATGAGTGTCATCCCACAGACAGATTTCAGTATGACGGCAAGTTGGTATTTGCTTACTTCAGATGTGTGTTGCATTCAGTTTTAGCTTTCCAGTAATCAGGGTGTATTTTATATTCCCTTTATCTTTAGAACACACTTTATGTACTTGAATTATTTCTCAATCAACATGTATTTATACCTAGCATTTCATGCATCTCATGTAATAAACAGCCTGTTGCCCTTGAGAGTTCTTGCCACAATAAACTGGTCCATCTCCAAGGTGTTATGGAATATTGTCTGCTCGCTGATACAGACTAATAACATCCTACTTTTTATAAAAAGTAGTACAAATGGCCCACCAATCATGCTTAAGGATATATTTATTGCTCAGCAAATCACACTCCACATTTCAAGAGCATGACAGAAGATGCTGTCACAGTGAGAGGTTCTATGTATGCACACTTCTTCAGATACCCAGAATTAAACTTTGTGGGTCTTAATAGTACCACTGGACTCAAACTTTATTCACAAAGAACAATGACTTTAAAAGATTCCGACATACATGCAATCTTGAGTTTTCTTTCATTGGTTCTCCATGCATGATGCTGCAATTACTGTGTACAAATCAGAATGTCATATAATTGCTTTGAATTTTATATTTGATACATTTGAATTAATACATGTGTACATTATGTAAACAAATTATAAGTTATTGTATGGATGTAATAAATATTATGCATTGGAAAGTTGAAATAAAATTTAAAAATTAAAGAGATATTTGATACTGTGCATATTTATGAGTGCTGAATGAGGGAGATAAATAGAATGGACAAGTCCTTTATCAAAGTAATGTTTGTTCTCCCTATTTGTTTATGCTTTCCAGCTCTATTGTATTGCCCTACTCAAGGCAGCATAGATGTTCCTCATTGCAAGGTTTTAGTGGGTCTTGCAGCCTCCATCTGATCAGCTAATGATAGGAATACCCTTAGCTTCCAAAGTGGAAAATGAAAGAAGGTATAGTGACTCTGGAGATAACATGCAGACAGACGACCAGGGCATTATATACTATCATTTCTGGAAATCAGGGAAAAAATAAAGTGTTAAGTTTCTGAGAGATTCTAAATCTATATTTGTAGAAACATTGTGGAGGAAAGAAGGGGCCATATGTATGTCTTTGTAGAATACTTGTTGCTTTACTAACAACCTTGAGACAGTGCCCTGCTTTCCCTTTACAGTGGCTAAAATATGGCTTTGCAAACAGAAATGTTTGAGGGAGAGAAGCCAAAGTCTAGCTCCTATTAGTTGTTTCCAATCTGCTTCCATACCCCAGTGCACTAATGAAGCACAGCAAATATCTGAAATTCTAGTAAAAACAGCATCAGAAGTACAATTGCACAAGAGACTCACAATGACACTTTTCCCACCACCCACTTTTCCCCTTCCCTAGAAGCTCATAGTCTCTCTACTTTACCTGCTTCCTGCTCACCTTCTTACACACCAGCCAACCTACCTTTATCTGCTCCCCTGTCTTCAGCTCCCCTCACTTAGCCCTGTCTCTATCTTCCCACCCTATTTATTTCCCTCCTAGCAACTCCCATATCCTCGCCTTTCCCTGTTTCCTTCTCTCCTTCATACCCACCAACTATCCTACCTTTAATTTGCCCCATTTCTTCAGCTATATTTATTATTTACTAGCCTACTACCCGTGCTTCGCTACAGTATTTAAGTTCCATAAATCCAGTTACAATACTGATGATGTGAAATTTGAAATGTGACATTTGTTGTAGGAATTCTAGTGGAGAAGATTGTAGGGTAAAAAATGAAGTGAGACATATGTACTTTTTTCCCCCTCTACTGAAGGACCTCTCTGTTGACCACATTGGTGGTTCTGCCCTCAGGTGCTAGGATCACCAGGCTGCTTGGTGAGCTCACTCTGGAGCAGGCCACATAGAACTGTCCATTTAAGAAGCAGTCATCTGTTAAGTCAACTCCTGCTACCTTCCACAAAAGTGATGGCCTCTCTACTTGTGTTCCTGGATTGTTTTGCTCACATGAAGTCTGTGTTGTTCTGAGCACCTCAGGGTGATCTTGCTGGTACTTGGCCTGTGCAGCTCAGTGCACTGCAGGAGTACTATGTGCAAATGTCTTTGCCACATTCCTAAGTTGCCTCCTCCTCGTAGCATTGGTGTATCTGGCTTGACATTTGCAAGGAGCTTTCTTGGGGACAGTAAGAGGTGAGAGGTGTGAGAGGGAGTTGGTGTGAGGGAGTGGTGATGTGGTGGATATTTCTTCAGGTTCATAAGGGAAGCATGCATTGAAATGGCTCCTAGAAATGTCCTTTACTATGTCCCCATAAACATTCATACCCTGGCCCCGCTCCTACACCTGACAGACACTGGCCTGTCTGGTGTTGGGGGGGATTGTATTTAAAGGCAATCCTGCTGAGCAAACCTCCCTGGCGGCTGTAAGCATCTCACCTCCTCCTACACCTGCCTGTTAAGTGTAGGAGGGGGAGGAGTATTAGAAGCCACGGTGGATGCAGGGCTGGCAGGATCACTAAGGCGTTACTACTGGGGCAGGCTCCCTCATGGCTTTAAGCACCCTGCAACCGCTGCTGCACCTGACAGACAACCGCCTGTTAGGTGTAGGAGGTGGGGGGAGTGTGTTGGAAGCCATCCCACCTCCTCTTCTACACCTGACAAGCAGCTGCCTGTCTAGTGTAGGAGGGCGAGGAGTATCAGAAGCCATCAGAGGTGGGGCTGCACCCAACAGACAACCACCTGTTAGGTGTAGGAGGTGGGGGGAGTGTGTTGGAAGCCATCGGAGAGGCTAGGCCAGCAGCATTACTGAACCTCACAGGTGCTTGTTGGCCACTCCCGATTTCCTCAACTGTCATTAGCTGTCTGCGGTCCCTTGTAACTGTTGGGTTTTTTTACCTCAGAACTCTGAGCTCTGCAGCTGACCAATCAGAGAGTGGGGGGTGCCGGGAGAGAGCTGCCTGGAAGCCGCGTAGGAATCAATGGGGGGGAGCACATTTCCCCCCTTTTGACCCACTTAGGGGTCGAATTTCTTACAATCCCTTCGTAGCGAGCACCTATGCCACAGTGGGAGCGCTCTCCACGAATTTGGTGTCTCTAGGTCCAGCGGTTTGGCCTGGGTGTTGATTTTACGGTGAAGGGACTTTCTTTTATATAGATAGATAGATTTACTTCATTTATACCCAGCCTTTCTCCATAATGGGAATGCAAAGTAGATTACATCATTCTCCCCTCCTCCATGTTATCCTCCCAACTGTTGGAAAGGTACTGGTTCTGGTGATTCAGATCCTTCTTTAGTTAGTTAGCAGAGTACACAAGGCTTTAACGAAGCGGTGCTTATATTAGAACTGACCATGTGCTTGCAAAGTTACACAGAGCCACTGTTTCAAGTTGAAACACAATAACTAATTTATTCTAGAAATACATGCTTGATAGTGCAGGGGTGAGAAATAGAGACAGTTCCTATGCTATCTAGATAACAGATGGGAGTGGATGCAGAGAGGCATCCTGCACCCCATCTTGTGTGCATGGAAGTGAGGAGAGAAAGAGAGGAGGAGGAGGAGACGATGAACGATGACAACAACAAAGAAGAAGAAGAAGAAGAAGGGAAGCTGCTTTTCCCAAAGAAGTGTTCATCTGCACTTCAAAGAGAAACTGTGACAGTAAACAGGAAGATGCTTAGTGTTTGCCTATCTGCTTGCAACTCTCTGTTGTCACTTGTCTTCTGGACGCTGAGAGGCAGGGACATCACACCTGGAACTTCCAACAACACCCCTGTGAGTAGGGTTACCAGGTCTCCCCTGGCCAGTGGTGGGGGAATGGGGGGCTGTGACATGGACAGCCAATCCCTACCCAGTTTACTCCACCCACTGATCCTGCCTCCTTGGTGTGCTGGGGTAGAGGCCATGCCTTTTTTGACTATACCTTCCCATTGCCATATATACACCCCTAGTGAGCCTTCAAGCAGATTTGAAAGAAAGCAGAACTAGAGACTCTGAAAATAAATTGTAAATGTTTGCATAAATGAAAGGTTGTGTGTTGGGGGGGTGTCCCATTGATCGTGACATTATAATTTGGTAATAAATATATCGATTAATAAAAGGCAGGAGAGGCTTGTTGTTAAGAACATAAGAACATAAGAGAAGCCAATGTTGGATCAGGCCAATGGCCCATCCAGTCCAACACTCTGTCACACAGTGGCCAAAAATACCAGGTGCCATCAGGAGGTCCAGCAGTGGGGCCAGGACACTAGAAGCCCTCCCACTGTTGCCCCCCCCCAAGCACCAAGAATATAGTGCATCACTTGCCTCAGACTGAGAGTTCCTATCTATACCTTGTGGCTAATAGCCACTGATGGACCTCTGCTCCATATCTATATATCTAATTCCCAAGTTGCCCCCTGCGTGCGGATATCTAAATCCGCACATCGGGGGCACTTAAGGGTCAGAGAGATTTTCCTGCGCACTTGGAGCAATCCCCAGGTGTGCAGAAAAATATGAAAAGTTGGGAAAATATTTAAATTACCTAAAAAGTAAAAGAGCATTCCCTGCTCTGGGAACTGGCGGGCTGGTGGCTGGAAGGCGCTCAGGCCTCGCCACCGGAGCTGGGGTGAGGGGGGAGGAGATCAGCGGGGCCCAAGCCATTGGGGGAAGGAGTTGGCGAGGCCGCTCAGTCCTTGCCGCCGGAGCCGGGGGGAAGGGGTGTGGAGGAGCCCGGGGGAGGGGGGTGGAGGAGATCAATGAGGCCGTGGGCCAAGGCGAGGGAAAGGAGGAGGAGATCGGCAGCCGGAGGGGGAGGGAAGCTGTTCGGCAGAGGGTAAAGGAGCGGGGGGAGGGAGATTGGCGGGGCCCCATGGCTGGAAGCTGCTCAGGCCGCGCCACCAGTGGACGGGGGGGAACAGGGCTTACCTGCTGCTGCTGCCTCCTCCTCCTGCTTGGCGTGGAGCTCTTCCCCCTCCCACGGGTTTCTATATACTAATAGCCAAGAGACCCCTTCTGTGTGGATATCTAAATCCGCACATCAGGGGCACTTGGGGGGCAGAGAGTTTTTCCTGCACACTTGGGGCAGTCCCAAGGTGTGCAGAAAAATCTGAAAAGTTTTAAAAACTATATAGGGAATACTTAAATTCCACCAAAAGGCAAAAGAGTGTTCCCTGCACATGCGCAGATAACTCTTTGGCTATGGAGGGAATGCTCGGTGAGCCCGGAAGTTGGGAGCCGCTCAGGGCTCACTGCCGGTGCCGGGGGGCCATGGGAGAAGGCTCGGCAGGCCCGGCAGCTGGGAGCCACTCAGGCCTCGGCACCGGTGATGGGGGTGTGTGCGGGTAAAGGCTTGGCGGGCCTGGCAGCTAGGAGCCGCTCAGCCCCGCCGCCAGTGCCCAGGAGAAGAGGGAGGATTGGCGGGCCCGGCAGCTGGGAGCCATGCAGGCCTCGCCGTCCGTGCCGGGGGGTTGGGGGGGGAGAATTGGTGAGCCCAGACCTCACCATCGGAGTGGGGGGGGAGAAGGGCCCAGGCCTCGCCATCAGTGCTACGGGGACAGCGGGATCCATGTGTTAATCACTCTTT